AACAAGAGACAAGGTCATAGGCTCGATCCTTTGCTTTTCTCTGCAAAAACCAGAGGTTGTCGGAGGCATGAAAGGATCAATCTCGGCCCTTTTGGATCTATGGTAGGAAGAAAAAGAGGAAGATCGAAGGGCTCTTGGTAGATCGAGGGATTTTATTTTTGTTTAATTTGTTGGGTATATATATAGAGCAAAAATCAGAGTAAAAGAAAGGTTAAATCCCTATTTTGGTCCCTGAACTATTGTGTGGACCTTCGATTTGGTCCCTGAACTAAAGAAATCCCTAATTTGGTCCTTAAATTATTGTACGAACCCTTGAATTGGTCCCTAAACTACTGTATGGACCCCCGAGTTAATCCCTAAACTATTATACGGATCCCCAATTTGGTCCCTACTGTTTACCAATTTAGCCCCAACTTGGTCTTTTTGTTAAATAATAGCTCAAGGACCAAATTGGGGCAAAATTGTAAACAGTAAGGACCAAATTGGGGGTCTGTACAATAGTTCAAGGACCAACTTAGGCCAAATTATAAACAGTGGGGACCAAATCGGGGTTCGTACAATAGTTTAGGAACTAAATTAGAAATTTTTTTAGTTCAAGGACCAAATCAGGGGTCTGTACAATAGTTCAGGGACCAAAATGGGGATTTAACCTAAAAAAAAGGGAGGGAGTTTTCGGAAAGAGGCATTTTCTGTTGGGTGACAATGATTGGAGGAGGAGACATTGTTGAGTTTCAAGAAGTGTGCCCTTTTCTAGATTTGTTTTTGTAGGCAATTTTCTCATTAGAGGAGGTTCTTGAGAAAGGTGGTGAGGGAGAGGGTTGGAGCTTGATCCTGTGGGTGGGATCCTTCCCCCGATTTTGATCTGTCTTCTTAAAAAACCTTCGCCATGCTTGTTTTTATTTTTTTGGGTTTTCTTAACGTGTTGTAAGTGTATTTGGGAGTAATGTTGTGAATGAAGAATCAAAAAAAAAAAAAAATTTGTCTAGTTCATTTTGTCTGATAAATGTGCTTTTTTTGTTGTTGGTGAATGTGATTTTTATGATGAATGTGTTTTTTCTTTTGAAATTGATGAACCCTAATTGCAAGTTTCAATTTTTTATGTTTGATATGTTTTTGTTTATTTTGAGCAGTGGGTTGTGTTTTTGTTTCTGGGTTGGATTGACCATGCTTAATCGAATAGATTCATATATACATATATATATATATATAAACTAAAAAGGTAAAAAAAAAAAAACTAAAAAAAGTAAAAGAAGTAAAAAGTAAAAAAAAATATAAATAAAATGATTAATTGATTATGGTAATTAGTTTAATATGTGATTAGTGAAATTAATCAATTTTAATTAAAGTATATTAATTATGTTTATTAATTTTAATTTGAGATAATTAGATTTATTTAATTGTCTTAATTAAGGATTAATGAATGTGATTAATTAATTTTAATTAATTTTAATTAATGTTAAGTTAATCATTTAATTAAATTGGTTATCATGATTAATTGACTTTCAATTCTTTATCTTACTCATCTTTTCAAAACGTAAAAAATTATCTCCTTTTATTTCAATTTCACCCGAAACTTTCATGATTAAGCAAATCTTTTCAAATCAATCCCTCATATTTATGATTTAATCAAACCATTCCATTTAACTTTTCATTTGTGGTTGTGGTGCATGCATGTTCTTGATTTTGTCTATTTTAGTCCAAAAATTAAAAAATGTTTCAATTTGGTTTATCCCCTTTTTAGTTTGCCTATTAAGACTTAAACAAAGGTGTAATGAATAGGTTGAATTAAAACCCCAAAGTTAAAGTATGCAATCATGTTTAAATGGAGGATTATGAGGTGCGCGTATACCCTTCCTCCCTCCTAATCGAACCCCTAAATGCTAATCTCTATGTAGACCCATTTTAGGTGACTTGTCCCACCTTATAATTTGGACAAGTGGTGACTCCTTTTCCTTTTATTATTTATTTCACACTTAATAATAATTTTTCATTATTTTGAAATCTATTAAGCGTGGTTGTTAACAGTATCGACACAAAATTATTCCTTCTACTTACCATCAATGCGTCAAGGGTCATCTAAATGGGAAGGTCTTCCGCATCTTTGCCAATTCGTTGCCGTTTGATCAGACTGAGACTCACTTCGCTGAAGTTGCCTTCTATGATGAATTTGCACCTTCTGGTGAAGCAACAGTATCCTGCCCAAGTGGCACTGTTCTGCCAACATGGAATGACATCAAAGATAATCCTGATCTCGACTTACACAGTATCCTGGAGCATAAGAAGCAGAAGGAGGCCACAAAGACGGTCCAAACGTGCCCAAAATGCACCCGAACTATCATGCCCGATGGGAGGATCGAGTACACTTTGTGAAGGTGCGCGAGGCTTCTCAGCCGTATGCGAGGTGACCCCATCGCCAGTAGTGCAACCATGCCCTCGGATCATTCTTTCCTCACCACGAGGAAAGATACCTTGACTGGTGAACGAGAACTCTACAACAGAGCAGAATGCCTCACCCTTGAAGTTGGAAATAAAACAATTATCAAGCACTTAGATTCTTCTGGAGAAATTGATCATCTGATACCGCCAGACGACTTGCCAACCCTCCATGAGGCTCAACCAACGCTCACTTCTTTGGAGTCCCTCGAAGTTGTTGATCTCGGAGATGACCCAGCAAATCCCAAGCAAATGCATATTAGTACAACTCTTTCTGTTGATGAAAGAGTCGCAAAAAGAGTTAAGATGATTAACTTGCTGTGGGAATATAAGGATGTTTTCGTCTGGAATTATGATGAAATGCCAAGGCTTGATCCAGCTTTGGTGGCACACTTTTTAAATGTTGATCCTAATATGAAGCCAGTTGTGCAACCAAATCCTACCTTCCATCTAGAAGTTACTCTAAAAATTAAAGAAGAAGTTGAAAAGCTTTTGGCTACAAGATTTATCAAGCCAACAAAGAAGCCTACTTGGCTGGCCAACATTGTACCAGTTCGAAAGAAGAATGGACAGATCAGGTGCTGCGTTGACTTTCGTGACCTCAATAAGGCCTACCCCAAGGACGAATTCTCTGTACCAAATATGGATGTGATGATGGATAATACGACTGGTTGTGAAATGTACTCTCTTATGGATGGTAGAAGAGGATACAACCAAGTTAGCATGTGCCCTAGCGATGTAGAGAAGACCGCTTTTCACACTCCTATTGGCAATTTTTACTATGTCATGCCCTTCGGGTTCAAAAATGCTAGGGCTACTTATCAAAGAGTCATGGTGGCAATTTTTCATGATTTCATCCACTTGTATATTGAAATCTACATTGATGATATTGTGGTGAAATCTAAAATGAGATTGGGCCACTTCGATGTGTTGAGAAAAGTCTTCGACAGATGCCGCTTGTACAAGTTGAACATGAACCTAGCAAAGTGTGCATTTAGTGTCTCCACAGGGAAATTTCTAAGCTTCCTTGTGAGCGAACACGATATTAGTGTGGATCCCGCCAAGTTTGAGGCGATCTGAGCTATGTAGCCGCCTAAGAATCTTAAACAGCTACGAAGCTTCATCGGCAAGGTCTTATATATCCGTAGATTCATTCCTTCATTGGCAAAAATTCTATTTACATTTAGCCCTTTATTGAAGAAAGGAGTTGCTTTCACATGGACAAAAGAGCAGCAATGTGCTTTCTCACATCTTAACACGCTCTTCTAACATCAATGCTATATGCCGCAGATCCTCTTCCCCAACAATAGGCAATAACATCAAGTTTGCCACGTCCTTTAAAGTCATAGTGACTTCTCCAAAAGCAAGGACGAAGGTATGAGTGCTTGTGCACCATCTCTATACCAAGCGATGGAGGCATTCCACATTGTCGCTGATCTGTAAGGTTTGACTCAGAGAAACTGACTTAAGAACCTCGGCGGTGTGCAATATCTCCATAAAACCATTATCAGTGAACATCTCCTTAGCCCAGCCTGACCAATTTTCCATCTTGCCAGATAGGAAGGCAATCGACATTAGTAGCAAGTCTCGCATTTCGAGTCTCGCTCGCATAATGTTGCGCGACGAGGGAAACCATGCCGCACTAACATCACCCCCTTTGAAAGCCTTGAGCGAAACTAAATCTTTCTATTTCTCAGACGCCCGTCTCGTCGACCAAGCATTGAATTCCAAGAAGCCATCCTGGAAAGTGTAGGTCATGGTACGGCTGCACCCCGTCAGTTGGATAAGGATCAACAATCTCCTAGGGCTTTCGTCGAAAGAAAAAGAGGAGGGGAAACAGAAATTCAGATCAATAGAGGCATAAAGAATCTACAGCATGTAACCCAAAAAAAAAAAAAAATAGTGAAGTAGAGAAACAGAGATTCATTGTTACCTTGATAGGAAGAGGATTTTGTAGAAATTGCACACTGGGTCAACTTCCTCAAAAAAGTTTGGGTACTTCGTAGAGAAATCAAAAAATTTTTATGAAGGATATTATGAAAATCGGGTACACAGAGGAGAGAGAGAAGGGTTTGTCAATTTAGAAAAAAAAAAAAAAAAGGAGAAAGGCAGGGAAAACTGAAAGGCTGGTTAAGGAACAAAGAGAATGGCAAAAAGGGAAATTAAGGTTAGCATTAAATGTACTAGCCAATTGCTCTGCCACATGTCATGCGTCAATATAGCCTAGAGTTATCGAAGGGGTAGCAAGTAAGGTGCATATTATCTTAATACACGTGCTTGCATCTGATCTCCTTTAAAATCTCCCTTTTTTTTATGCACCATTATAATGAGATTTTTGGGGAAGATTCAATTTCTTTATTTTTCAAAAAGGGGAGTTACTTTTCTCTCCAACTACTGAAAACTTCCTTGGGAACAGTTTGAAATTTTTCTTCAGATCTGAACTGTAGATGAACAGTAAAAAAAGGGGGGGGGGAGAGAGAGAGAAGTCTGCAAGAGCTGCTCATAATATATCATTTTTCGATGGGAAAAGAGGTACACCCCATACAAGATCCTTGGCGAAGATATGACTGAAAGCATATGCATTGGTCTTATATTCACATCGGTCAGAGATCGCTGTCAGACATTCTCAGAATCATGCATGAGTTTTCTTTAGAGAATTGTTTTGATAAAATTTGCAAAGAAGGCTTCAGTCAAATTCGCTACTCCCTATGACTTTGAATCTTTCAGCCGGGGTTTTGCTTCGACCTTATTTGATTCTTGTCCATGTTGAAACCTCACTGACAACATTGAAACCCATAGCGAGAGTTTCTCGTGGTTGCATCCGATCAGCGTAATCCTACTTTTGTCAAAGCACCTCAACGTTAGCGAATTGCTCGGCTGGAACTAAATCTGAGTAATCCCAAATCTTTTAAGTAGCATCTACTTCGACAGGAGGATTCATATCGATCATCCAGCCATATGAGGAACATCCCGGTAATTTATCTCCCTCAACGCCAAGCGAACCAAACTTGTTCTCACAACTTTACTCGCTTGGGAGGCTAAAGTTTAGGGATGAATTTGCATAACCACATAACTAATGACGTGTGCGGATCTACACCAGCAAAGGCCCACAACACTTATTCTTTTTTACATCCGACGTGTGACTCCAATTTTTTACTGATTGCTACTCTGGAATCAACATCGCTAGAAACAACACTTATTCGCCTTGCCAGAAACATCGTGAAATGTAACTCACTCCAGCATCTATCTCCACACACATGGCCAGACACGGTTACATTATTTGCCTAACATGGCTTGGCATTTTTGATGGTCATGTTTTCTACAGCAATATTTATTACTACATCTTCTCGCTGCATTTATCTCTATGACATGGCTAGGCGTTTTTTACGGTCATGATTATTACTACATCTCTTTGGCCCCCAATGATAGATAAAGAGTCTATCTTGCAATAGATAAATGGTTAGGCATTTTTTATGACCATGTCCTCTACAGCGACGTTCACTATTGTGACTTACGGCTCCTAACAATGGATAAAGAGTCTGTTTTGCCATATGGCCCCCATCAAAGGATAATGAGTTGATCTATATAGCTCCCAGTGATGGACAACTGGCCAAGCGTCTATTTCTACATATCTTTATCACTGGTTCCCATTATTGGACAACGAGTTGATCCTATTACATCTACACGGCTCCCAGCAATGGACAAAGGGCCATATTTATTACATATTCATCTCACTGGCTCCTAAAAACAGACAAGGAGTCAGTGCAACTCAGTATGATTAGTTTGAGGCTCATAATAGTTGCAAACCTATGATCGAACGGGATGACCACCCTCCAACGATAAAAATCCATCAAGTAACGGCCGACAGTCCCTTTGTGGTCACCCGTGCATGGTGGTGCACTGCCCGGCAAGCAAGAACAACCAGAACCACCCTTTGATGATGTGGGCATGGCAAGAAGGGCCAACGTTTGCCAATGGTATCACCCCTTATCATATCAGAGGCCATGAATGCAGTTGGTGTCCCTTTTTCATGGAGACAACTCCACCTCTCCTTATCACATATTCCTCACTATGGCGAGTCTGGTTTAATGAGATTTACCCCTTCGCGACTTGGTGGACTAGTAGGAGTGCTCTTCTGATTCCACATAGTTCATGCTCCAGCCATGGACAAAGCTAGCCACTGTTGTCCCTCCGGTTATGGGAAGGCCATTCATGGCTGACCCTATAATACTTATACAACATGGTCGTCGATCATGCATAATTATCATTCTACTATACAAGGGGGCAAAGCTACCAGTTGACGATAATCCCAATCTATAACATATCTCTTTTATATTTCATGTGTTAGCAAGTATCGCCAGCCAACAAAGCTTGGCTCGAGACAACAATATCGCGGCGCACGTATTTATATCATCTATGCTCTGTTTTGGCGCCACGCCAACCATACCCAACAACAACATATTGGTGCTTGCCACAACTAACAAATGAATGGGAGCAGCAAACATTTGTCCATATAGCCTTCTTCAACACACAAGGGAATTCCCTTCTTCGTTACATATATTCACATGTCCCTTATATCCAAGATACTCAAACATGTACTCATATGTGCTTTGTTGTTATCACAGGTAAATGCAGGCCCATGAACCCAAGCTCATAGGAATTACTCGGGATAAACTATAGGAGTAGTGGCTTAGCAAGCATGGATGGATGAATGCTGCCCATCTGGCAAAGCAAAGCATATGCACTAGCGAAGCTTGGCATTGGCGATGTTGCCCAACTTCGCCAAAAAAGGCTGGGTATCAAAGGTGTGGAAGCAAACTTAATTCCTCGAACAGTACCCTTTGATGCTAACCAGAGGCTGGAATTCCCGTTGAAGACTAACTGGAGATGCCATTTGGATCACCATTAGCAACTTGCAGCTATATTTAATATAAGGGTGGCTGCACAAGTTTCATAGTCTTGGAAATTGCTACAAAAATCACTGTTTGCTTGTAGAATCTTTCAAAATCCTACACAGAGCTTGGGGAACTTACCAAATCACGGTGTAGGTGGTGTTCTTGTCGGTTGCACTCTAGCACTTCTCTAAAAATGGAGTTTCGTATGGCTGAGAGAATTTTAATAGACAGTTTCCAGTCTATCATTGGAACCAACGAAGCTTCGCTAGAATCGATAGGTAACTCATGATGCTATTGCCAAATAAGCTGTCAATAGTGCTTGAAACCATTCAAAGCTTGACAGCTCACCTGGTCCCATTTGCACATCTTTGACCCATTAAGTGAAATTACAAAAATGCCACTAGCCATATATATATATCACCTTTCCTTTATTCTTCAAAAAAAAAGAAAAAAAGAAAAAAAGAAAAAAAGAAGAAGAGATACAGAGAACAGACGAGTGTTTTCCAACCTACTACCACACGCATCATACCTCCATTTTCCTCTTAAAATCCCTTCATCTTTAATCAACCATCCTACCATCCTGCACGGTGAAAACCTATTCAAAAATCACCATTTCTTCCTGATTTCTTATATTCCTAATAGCATAGAATATTTTCTGGCTTGCAAAACAACATAGTTGGGAAGAAGCACGCTACAATTTTGGCTTCTAGGTAGTTCTTCTTGAGCTTTAGAAGATCAAGTAGCATGGTTAGCATCAAAGAACGAGATTGGGTGTTCCACCTATAAGCATCCCCAAGTGGACATCCTTCCTTCTCCCATCATTATTGTTAAGTTCATCCTTTTCTTTGTTTTTGAAGGAATTTCATAAGGAGAACTATTGTATTCTTCATGCCCAACATAAGAGTTGTTCATTATAGGGTGAAAATGTTCACTAAAGATGATAGAGGTCGCATTTGGTGTCATTACTACTATGCTACAGTGTTTTATGTGTGAAGACGATCCCTAAGTTATAACCCTTGAACCCCATATATTTACCATCTCCATCACCCTTCCAGCAATATACATATATTATTGTTGCTGATTTTGATAGTTGTATAATCATTCTGAATCTTTGGGTCCTCACCATTGCTTATCAACTCTATCAGCTTGGCTAGGAAATTAGAACATTCTTAAACTTCGTTGGAAAACTTGTTGTAGGACATCACCGTTAGGCAAAACGAGATGGCCCGTAGCATGTAGCCTTGCGCACATGAGACAGGTGCCACCGAAAGAACCCTTGCTCATCTTCATGGGTGTCATCCTAGTCAGCCTCCATGTCATCATCGCTGCTAACTCATTAGGTTACATCATCAGCACACCCCAACACATATGATCCCATTTTAAACTCAAAAATATTTAAACAAATTAATAAATGAATTTTAAATAACACATGGCACATAGTAATTGGTCAAATGAAGTTAACATTATTTAAGATTAGTTGAATATTTAAGAAATAAAATGAATAAGTTAAATTACACATTTATCCTCTTATCATCATCCCTTCCATTCAATCTCTTCCTTCCCAAGATCTCCATCTCTAGCAAACTCAAGCCCATATTGTTGTTTCTCTTGCCACTTAACTCTTCTTCTCCACAATTTATTTCCCTTTTCACTTGCACAAGAAAAAAAAAAAAAAAAAAAAAAAATGACATCAATGCCAAGATTCATCACATACAAGGATAATATTATCAAAACACTTCACAGCTATATTTATACTTGGAGATCTCAATTTCAAAGTGTTGCAAAATTTGATTATATACCTCAAGAACACCCTTTTCTCTCACCCTGAAAAATTTTCTTATTTCTTTTTGTCTACAACCCTAGATAAAAGGTACAATTTGCAATTAAATAGAAAAATTTCAAGTGGGTAAAATTGATTATTTGGAAAAAAGTTGTCTTCTTTCTAAAACTCTTTTGCAAAATTCATTGTCCACTTGTGCTTCCCTAAAACGCATGATGCTTCATCTAAAAAAAAAAAAAAAAATTGGTGTCAGCGGTCCAACTCCTCTCTAGCCATTGTTATGTTTTGGGTGTGGGTTTGGTTTTGGTGGCTACTTGAGATTTGCACCAGAGAACCACCAAGTGGCACCATCAAAAGGAGAAGATGGCTATGAGATCTAGAAAAGTAGCAACTTTGTGGATGGCACCTTCAAAGATCTGGTTGTTAGCCATCATTTCCTCATGCTTCATTATGGGAAATCGAAGGAAAATAGTGCAAGACAAAAAGAGGGTATCGACAATGGTGGATGATAAGAGGCGCGAGCACAACTCTCAAAAGGGAAATCAGTTGCTATTCTATTAGGGTTTATAGGTGATGATCAATTAGAGGAGAAGGAGAGAGAAAAAAAAAGGGAAAGGAAAAAGATGTTGGAGAGAAGGAGATCGGGGGAAGAAACAAGAAGTTGGATGGTAATTCCAAGTAAGGCCCACAGTGAATGGAGATAAACATGAAGGATCCAAATCGACCTTGCCAACATGTAAATAAAGTCCAACATGGCACTAACGCACACTGGTATGACGGAAGCCAACGGTGCACGTGCTACACATGATGCTCCCATGTTAAATTTTGCTTTATTACCATAAATTCAAAAAATTGAAGGGTAAAAAATTATAAATCATAAGCTCAGGGATAAAGCGGCTCATACTCCAAAAGTTCAAGGGCAAAGTGGGGGGTTTTTGCCGATTATAACAACTGTATAAATAGCTATAACAGCTGTCTTTGTGCCCTTAATATGGCCCTGAAACAAAGGCTACTGCATCATACCATTTTATATTAAAATAGTATATATTAACTAGCTTAATTGACCGATACAACACAAAATCAATATTATTGATCTACTAGCAATGGGTTTGCTTCTCACATTTATCAAAGTTTTTTTTTTTTAAGTGGTAAATAAAAAGGTAATTTTTTTAAAATCTCTTATTCTGACATGAATAATTTATTTTAATTTAATTGAAGTAAAATTAAGTATTATTAAAGATTGCTTTCATAATGCCTTTCCTCTTGGTGGTACAGTGCCTGTAAGCACTTTTTGTCTCAAGGGAAACATATTCTAGAAGCCCAAAATATTTGTTCAACCTTCTCTATCTGTACATGTTTGAGTCGAGAACTTCTCTAAGTTCTCTTCCTTCAAATTCCGAGTCATATTGGGCTTAGTAAATTTTTAAGAATTGTTTTTTTAAAAGCCTTACAAGGGATCATAATTTTAAAAATCAAAGATATTTTTTTAAAAAAATAACAAAAACACTCATTAATAAATTTATTATTATTAGCTAAATTGGTTTTGAGCTACGTTTTGTCTATTTTATGATTATAAACCATAAAGACGCACATATGACATATTTTAAAAACAATTATTAAATACGTACTAAAATATTGGCCAAAAAAAGGTACCCAAATATCTTTTGATTAGAGTACCATATACAACACAAATTCCTAATAGGCTACTTAAGAAAAACACACACAAACAATTTCTAACAGAATCTTAATCTGGTGCGTGCAAAGTTCGCCAACATTCACAAGGCGCATAAATAAATAACATGGAGCAAATACAGAAAATAATACAAGATTTCTCTATTTTAAATTTAAATTGTAAAATAAAAATTATTTGATGGAAAAACAACTCTTAATATTATAGACTTATTTTTCATTTAATAGTTTAAATTGTTTAGTTTGAATTAAACAAAATTCTTGTTATAATAATAACATATGCTTAAGAAAATAATTGAGAGACAACTTTTACAACTTTTTCAAACAATCTTAAATTTATCAATTAAGGATTGATTTATTTCTATCTTATTGGTGTCTTTGATATTTTATACATTTACTCATTTAATAATATATAAAAATTATATAAAATACATTAAGTCTGAGGTCATTATGCTGTTTAAATAGGGATGTCAATTTCCTTCACGCTCTATGGGGTTCTGTAGGGATGAAGATTCCCAGAAGATTCCCAAAATATTCCTTTTTGCAAAGTCTAGCTAGTAGCAACTCTTTTCCTGCAAAAGTTTGTGGAGAATTTTCCTTGTTCCATAGGAGCCCATAGGGATCAATATAAAAATGAAAAGAAAAACTATAAATTTATATTTTTTATAAATTATGCTAATAAACCCTATTATCCAAATAGTATTAATGTCATTTAATTGATTATATTGTTAATATCAATTCTATTGAAGTAGTGTGATACATTTTATAAAGGTTAAATACCCTTTTTGGTCCCTCTACTATACGAAAAAGCTCTTTTTTAATCCTTGTACTGAAAAAAAACTCCTTTTTGGTCCTTACTGTTTGAAATCCGACCTCTTTTTGGTCCCTTCATTAAATCTTGGCTGATGTAGCAAGTTAATTAACCAAAAAACTTATTTTTTTCTTTACTTAAATTACGTGAAAAATCCATCTGTAAAAATTGATGACATGGCAAAATTTTTTGTCTAATATATCCTAAACAATCATTTAATTAGATAATTACCATTATAAATATTTGGTTAAATGCTTATTTTGGTCTCTCAACTTTAGTGGTTTGCACATTTTTGGTCCCTTGAGAATTTTTTGCATTTTTTTGATCCCTCAACTATACGAAATGCACTCCGTTAGTCTTTCTGTTAATTTCTATCGTTAATTCGCTTATGTGGTATTTTTTATTATTTTTTTTTATGACGTGGTAAAAAAAACTAAAAATATGTTAAACGTGGAATTTTTTTTATGCCAAGTCATATTATTATTATTTATATTTTTTAAAAATAAAACAAAACAATTGCTCATCCTCTTTTCC